GCTCCCCACGTACGGCTTTCTCGTCTCCATCCACCACGACATACTTCACGCACTCGGTGAAGACACAGACCGACCACACAAGTACCCCCCGTGAACGCGCGTGAGAGACGAGCGCGGCCGTCCTGCGTACACATCACAGAAGACGCGCACACAAGCTCCCTTCGACCGGTGCTCCCGACGGGGTGAGCGAGTGCCTCGCCCTCTCACCCCCGCAAACCTAGGTCCTAATCGGGCGCCACGCGCAGCCCACCGCACTCCGGGGGGGGCGCAGACCGCGAGGGCGAGGTCTGCGGCCGCGGCAGACGTCACCAAGTGCACGCGTGAGCGCGACGCAAACGCCGCGCAAGCCAGGAGGGGGGTGAGGGCGGACGCTCCGATGCACCCAGCGCTCCTCCCCGCCCCGCGGGCCGCACACGTGCAGACGCGCACACGTCACGCGATCTTCTCGGGGTCCTTGCCGAGAGTCTTGGACATGCGCCGCGAGATCTTGCCGTGCAGCTCCTTCCCCACCGGCTCGGCGTCGACGTCCTTGCCTGCCGCACGAGAGGGCTGCTATTTGCTGTTAACGAGCTGGTAATTAAAGACAGCACATCTCGGCTGCCTCTCGGCTGTACCTCGGCTGTATCTCAGAGCCTTTGCCTGGGCGTGTATGCGACTGTGTGAACTCGGCTCGCAACGCTGCCGAAAGACAGCCGGCCGCGACGTCTCGAGTGTTCAATTAGCTGTTAATTAGCTGCTAATTAAGACAGCCGGCCGCGACGTCTCGAGTGTGCAATTAGCTGTTAATTAGCTGCTAATTAAGACAGCCGGCCGCGACGTCTCGAGTGGCACTCGGGACGGATGCAAGCGCGCGTGCGCATCTAGCTGCCCTTGCCTAGCGTCAGCGAGACGCGCCGCACCAAGTTCGCCGTCATCGCCAGCGGCGACTCGTCGTGCGCAGCCAAAGCCTATTGAAGTCCCACTCCACGTCCGATTCAAATCAGAGTCCACAGCCTGCGTAGGAGCAGCGGCCTATAGCCACCCACGGACTGACTGACTGACGTACGTAGGAGCAGCGGCCCTAGTGCTGGCTGTCCGACGGTCTCCAGAGGCTGGAGCGGCGAGTCGTCAGAGCGGCGAGACGCCACCGGAGCATCTCACCGTCCTCCCACCCATATCTCCCCATATCTCCACCAGAGCATCTCACCGTCCTCCCACCCATATCTCCCCATATCTCCACCAGAGCATCTCACCGTCCTCCCTACCATATCTCCCCATATCTCCACCAGAGCATCTCACCGTCCTCCCACCCATATCTCCCCATATCTCCCCATATCTCGCCACCAGAGCATCTCACCGTCCTCCCACCCATATCTCCCCATACCTCCCCATATCTCGCCACCAGAGCATCTCACCTCCTCCCTGGCCATGGCTCTTGCCTTCCCATCCCCTTACCATCCCCTTACCATCACTCACTCTCCTACTCTCGTGCTCTCTCCCCGCAAGGCCACCACTAGCGGCCGTCTCACCCCGGCCGCCCCCCCTGTACGTACCCCCTCTGCTACGCGCACGCCTGAGGCGCCGCCGCCACGACCGAGCCGCTAGCCGCCCTCGACGCGTCGCGCGCGAGCTTCTCCTGCGTCCGAGATGCGCAGAGATGAGCCGCGAGATCGGCCGAGATGCCTCGAGATGCCTCGCTCGACGCCGCGGGGGGCCTTGGGCAGGAGCAACACAGGGGGGCTCCCCCGCAGCCTAGCGCCCTTCCCCCGCAGCCTAGCGCCCTTCCCCCGCAGCCTAGCGCCCTTCCCCCGCAGCCTAGCGCCCTTCCCCCGCAGCCTAGCGCCCTTCCCCCGCAGCCTAGCGCCCTTCCCCCGCAGCCTAGCGCCCTTCCCCCGCAGCCTAGCGCCCTTCCCCCGCAGCCTAGCGCCCTTCCCCCGCAGCCTAGCGCCCTTCCCCCGCAGCCTAGCGCCCTTCCCCCGCAGCCTAGCGCCCTTCCCCCGCAGCCTAGCGCCCTTCCCCCGCAGCCTAGCGCCCTTCCCCCGCAGCCTAGCGCCCTTCCCCCGCAGCCTAGCGCCCTTCCCCCGCAGCCTAGCGCCCTTCCCCCGCAGCCTAGCGCCCTTCCCCCGCAGCCTAGCGCCCTTCCCCCGCAGCCTAGCGCCCTTCCCCCGCAGCCTAGTGCCCCAGGCCTGCGCCCGCCGCTCCGCCATCATGATCGAGTTCTTGCGCGCGAGCGCCGCCCCCTCCGGCGTGTTGAACTCCTGCCGCACCTGCAGGGGCGTCCGGCGGACCGGCGGGGGCCATTCTTTGACCTCGGCTAGATCTCGGCGCGTCCAGGGAAATCGAGCGGCAGGCTGTGTGAGCGGGCGGCTCGGTAAGGCAACGTACACTTCTCCACACACACGAGGTGGCGGGGCAAGGGCCGGGCAGCCCTCGCGACTCCACGTCTAGACGACAGGAGAGCCCCACGGCATTCAAAGGGCAAGGCCCGGTGCGCGTGGGCGAGCGGTGTGGGAGTGAGTGTGTGTGTGGTATGTGTGTGTGTGGGGGCTCGACCTGCCGCCGCCACGCCGCGAGCGACTCGTTGTCGGCGATGGCGTCGCGCGAAGCCTAGGAAGGAAGGAAGGCGCGCGGTGGCGGACGAGCACGGGTGCCAGGGGACAAGCGGTCATGCCTCGTGGCGCCTAGAAAAAGACATCGGTGCGGCGCAGAAGAACGTTGTGCCCGATCAAAAGAAATCGGTGCGGCGCGCCTCGGACAGCTCCGACAGCTGCCGACCAACCATCGAGTCTTTGGCGTCGTTCGACACCTCGCGGGTCCGTGCATTCACAATGAATTCAGCGGCCGCATCACGCTGCTGCTGCTGCTGCTGCTGCTGCTGCTGCTGCTGCTGCTGCTGCTGCTGCTGCTGCTACTCGCTACTGTGCTGCTGCCGCTGCCGCTGCTGCTGCCGGCGCCTTGGGGAAGACCTTTTGCATCACCTCGTTGAACTCCCACACGCTCTTGATCCCAAAGTACCACTTGGTCAGCTGCCAACAGGTGCCAAAGAAGGCCAGCACCAGCACGCCCCCCCCCACCATAGCGCGGCTCATCATCGCTGCGCAGGGAAGGGGAGGCAACGGCACGGGTGTATGTTGGCTCCGAGGTTTGGCATTGGTTGCGGAGCAGTGCTGCGCGGCGGGGAGGTGTTTGCGCCGGGCGCCGCGCGCGTGATGCACAAGCTTGGCTTTGGTGGCCGGGCACGGCAGCACTACGAGCGTGGCAGCCGTGCGAGCGCACCAGCCGACTCGGCGCGCGCCTCCTCCGCCTGGCGCTCCTTCTCCGACATGGGCTTCTCCGCAAAGTCGAGCTTGACGGGACCCTTGTTCAGGTCTTTGTAAAAGTCGTTCAGGTACGCGTACCGTCCCGAGCCCATCGCGTTCATCTGCTGCGCGTGCGACTCCTCGCTTCCGCCGTGCTTGAGACCGTACCGCGCGTCGGAATAGTTGTCCTTCTTCTTCTTGGCTGCGGTTCCGACTGGCGCGCCAGGCGCAGTGGTCGCGCCGCTACAGCGCCGCGCCGGCGCCGCGCCCACGCCACGGCGGAGCGCCGGCAGCACTCGATCCGGCAGCAGCAGCAGCAGTCGATCCGCTCCCCGTCGGCAAGCCATGGGGGTCTTGATTGCGAGAAAAAAATGACTCGGGAATGGAGCGTGCCCCATCCACGCGCAGGCCGCACCTCTAGTGAGGCCCGCATAGTATGTGGGAGACTCATGCCGCCGCCCCTGCCACCCCTGTGTCAGTGTGCCCGTCGTGGTAGTGAGAGACTGCCGGTGAGAAGCTGGAGGAAGGTCGAAGGCCCAACTTGAGAATCGTGCTTGAGTGGGGTTGTTTGGTGTTGGGTTGGGTTGGTGGAGTTGGGTTGTCCGAGCGGGATTGGTTGTTCACAGGTTGTTCAGTTGGGTCGTCGGCGCGAAGGGTGAGGTCTCGACGGCCGCCGCTCACGCCAGCGAGCCGGGCCACTACCGGTGTTTTTGGCTTCGCCACCGTCTAAAGCGTGCGGCACCCGTGCGCCATACTCGAGTACGCTCGCCGACATCGAACGAGCACGCCTGTCCGCGTTTTGGGTGTGAGAATGTGTGTCGTTCTGATGTGTCACCGTGTACGTCACATCGGTCTTGATAACAAGCACGGTCGATCCGTCGAAGCGATACACTCGTTCCTATCACGTTGGACGGCTTGCACGGACCCTGTGCCGGCACACAGGAAGAGCCGACGGCAAGAAGAGCTCGATGGGGAGCGAGAATCGCCAAAGGTGCTCACGGAGGTTTCGGCGATCAGTTCCCCCCAGGTTTGACCGCGCAGCTCGCAAGACTCGTCGAGCACTCGCAGCCTCTCTGCGCCTCTCATGCTGCCGCGGCGCCTGCGGGAAGTTCAGTCTTTCCGGAAGATATCGTCGAGTTTTGAAAGCTGCGCGGTCAAACCTGGGGGGAAATAAGAGCGTCACGACGGACTTCAGGTTACCCCTGAAGCTCTTCTGACGCTTCTCACTCCCCATCGAGCTCTTCTTGCAGCACGGCTCTTCCTGTGTGCCGGCACAGAGCTCCGTGCAAGCCTTCGAAAACGCGAGCAGAGGCCGCCGTTTGGGGCCACGGCGAGCCTCGGCGAGAAAGGTCAGCACCCTATCTCACGCGGTCGGTTGGGTGGACAACGCAACTCACCGACCCAACCCGTGCACAACCCAACCCAACCCAAAAAGCACGATTCTCGAGTTGGGCCCTCAGGTCGCTAGACTGAGATCAACCCTTTTCCTGGCTCACAAGCTAAAGATGTTCACGGGCCCCCACAGGGAGCCCCGGGTACTCTTTAGCTGTACTCGTCTAGGCAGGGGTTGGAATAAAATAAACAAAGAACTTGACAATGAATAAAACGGACACGCCAAAACGAGGGGTGGGAGAAGGACAGGGTCCCCACCTGCAGGAGCAGGATCTTGTAAGGACGATCAGGGACACAGGGGAGCGGGAGCGGGGAGCGCATCGCGACCCTCCAATGCGACGATATCGCGTTTTTGTTCGAGTCGGTTCCGTGTTCGAAACGCGCAGGCTCCAGCCAATGACTGCACCGCGCGGCCCGCGGCCCACTCAGGCGGCCCACCCAGCCTCACTGCAACCCATGGCGACGGCCTGCAGGAAGCCGAAGTTGCACAAGCCCGATATCTACGTACGCATTCGGCCGCTCGCCGCCGAGGGCGGCCACGCAGAGGACGGGACAGTGCTGCAGAAGCATCTCGAGGCGTGGGACGAAGCCAGTGTGACAGTCGGGACGCAGCACCTGTTCAGCAAGGGCGAGGCCAGGTATGCCTACCCGAGACGGGTTTTTGGCACCGAGGCCACGCAGCGGGAGGTGACCGACGAAATCGTGCCGGGGTTGGTCGAGTCCTTCACCGCCGAGAGCACCTCCGTGCTGTTTTTTGCATACGGTCAGACGGGCACCGGCAAGACGCGCACCATGCTGGGAACCGAGGCGAGCCTGCGCTCCGCCGAGCCGCACGAAGAGTGGGGCGTCTTTCCGCGCGTCTGCACCGCCGCCTTTGACAAGCTCGCCGCACTGCGGGCGCGCGGCGTCAAGTGCCGGCTGTCTGGCTCGGCCATCGAGTTCTACCTGGGCGAGTGCTTCGACCTGCTCTCGTCGAGCCGCGCAGGCAACTCGCCGGTGCAGATCGAGGCGCAGAGCCACATGCCGGCGGGCGAGTCCTGCGTCCCGCTCGAGCGGCCGGCGGACCTGGCACCGTTCTTCGAAAAGGTGATCGCCAACCGCACCGCACGCAGCACCAACTTCAACCACGCCTCGGCTGAGCACTCGGGCTCGTCGCGCTCGCACGCGGCGCTCACCCTCACGCTCGCAACCCTCGACGAGGCCTCGCGCGACTACTGCCAGACCACCTTCACGCTCGTCGACCTTGCTGGAGCAGAGCGGCCCGATAAGGTCAAGGCGGACGTCAAGGGCGGGCGAACGGACCTCGCGCCCGAGTTTCTGCCGAGCCTGCTACACGCTCGCGATGCGGGCAAGCTGAGCCAGCAGGAGGTGGAGCAAGCGATCCCAATCGGCTTTCAGACTAAGATGATCAACTTTGAGCTCTTCTCTCTCTGCTCGGAGGTGCTCAAGGCGAGCGAGTGCCATCGGAAGGGCAGGCCGTTCAAGCTCACACCCATGTCCACGCCGACCATCAAGTTCCTCTCTGCCATCCTCGACGGCCGCGCGCGCCTCGCCATGTGCGTCACGCTCTCGCCGGCCGGCCGCAACGCGTGGGAGACGTGGTTTTCGCTGCAGTACGGCGCCGACCTCGCCAAGCTGCACGCGCCGAGGATCAGACAAAAGGCGGTGCACTTTGACAAGCTGCGCAAGGCGGTGGCGAAGGAGGCGGCTGAGCTGCAAGATGCGGTGGACGGCATGGCCGAGAGCCACCGCTACTACGCGCAGAAGAGGCACCGGGCTAGTCATGCGGCGGAGCAGCTGCGCCGGCTGGATGCGCTGCAGAGCGGCTCGTGTAGAGAGCCCGAGTCTCGTTAGTCGTTTTGCGTAATGCGAGGCCGGTGTCCCTCTCCGCTCTCGGTGAAGCGTTTCAACCGAGAACACACGACGCGCGGGAGAGGAGATTCTCTCGTAGACGCGGGGGGGGGCGGCACTCGCTTGCTTTTTTTCGCTCCAGCGAGAGTCCAGTCACTCAACCAGTCCTGTGCGGATCTTCAGTAGACCGGAGGGCTACGAAGCCTTCACACTCCAAGGGGCTGGGGGGGCGGTAAGTCCATCGACTAGGGAGCGGAAGCACTACCACTAGCAGCGTGTCTCGGTCGTTCTTCATACGGCAATCGCAGAGCAGATTGTGAATGAGCTTGCCGCTGTGGCGGGGGCGGACGGGTGCACGGAGCTAAGTGCCTCGCCGCCCTCGCGGGAGTCGCTTAGGCGGCTCCAGTGGTGTACCTGTGTTAGTGCCAGTGCGCGCGCCAGTCCCGAGAGAGAGAGAGAGATTTAGCAATACCAAACAGTCCCGTGCCCAGCCAGTGAGCAGTGTCGTGCGAGGGAGTTTAAACTCTTTAAAAAGAAAGAAAACAGACGAGCCAACGAGTTTTAAACTCTTTCTTTCCGTGCAGCAAAATTCTTTATATTATACCAAAAGGAGGGCTCACGACGCCCTCTACGACGGGACAATTCTTTTCGTGTTTAAATTCTTTTCGGTTGTAAATGTAAATGGTTCCCGCAGCTCGCGCTGCCTCGCCTCCGCCGCCTGGGGTGTCGACGGGCCCCCGGGGGCGACGGGGGTGCTCTCGCGGGGGGTCCCCCCAGTCACGGGGGTCTGGGGCGCAGCCCCAGGTAGCCCGCCGCAGGCGCCGATTTTTTGGGGCTTTTTTGACTGATTTTCATGAGGTGTTGCTACTATTTTGGGACCAGTTGAAGCCTAAAAATGGCTACAAATACAGTCACAGCAGCTGCTCGTCATGAGCTGCTACTGTGTGGCAGAGCCCAGAGAGAGGGCTTTCAGGAGCACTATTCAGTTTGATCCAGCTCAACGTTGCGGAGTAGTAAGACTGTTCCGTTGCCGTGAGCGGCCGGCGGCCGGCGGCGGCCGGTGCGGCACGCGGAGCACTCCGTGAGCGGTGACGGGTGCGGACGAGCGAATGAGAGGTCCCTTTCAGTGAGAGATAGGCAGTCCTAGTCCCTAACAACACATCTTCCACAGATAGCGACCTCTCATTCGCTCGTCCGCGCCCGTCACTGCTAGTCGGGGCACTCCCGGCGTACGGCCCAGTCCCGGTCGTCACTCCGGTTGCTCGTGTTCACACCGTCAGAACTCAGCTCCGCTAAGGATTGAGTGTCTGAGACTTGGGCATCGTACACAACTTTTGTAGTAGAGCACAATGGCACCCTCGCATCAAGTGCATCACTTCAAAGTTAGACCTAGTTAGAGGTCCCCGTTTTCGGCCGCCGCGGCCGGAGAGCACCCCCGTCGCCCCCGGGGGCCCGTCGACACCCCAGGCTCCGCCGCCACCTCGCCAGACGCTCCCTCGCCAGACGCGCCGCCGCCCACCCGCCTGCTCGACCTTCCCAGGGAGCTCCTCGTGCGCGCCCTCTCTCGCTGCGACCCCGCCGACATCGCTCGCGCCGCGGCCGTCTCGCTGCTCTTCCATGCCTCGCTTGCGGTAGAGGCCATCCGCTTGTGGGCGCAAGAGCGCGGCTTCGAGCTGCCGGCTCAGCCAGAGGGCGAGGGCTGCCCCGTGCGGTGGCTATGCTATTCGGCGTTGCTGTGCGAGTCCAACACGCCGGCGAGGGCGGCAGCAGGCGACCGGCACAGCGTCTTCATCGACGGCGAGGGGCGGCTCTCGTCGTGCGGCTGCCCGCATAGTCACGTCCCAGGCCTACTTGGCCACGGCGAGGGCGTGCCGCGGCTCAACACGCCGACCCGCCTCCTGTCGACGCTGGGCGGCGAGCGAGTCGTGAGCGTGTCGGCTGGAGGATTCCACAGTCTCGGCCTCACTTGCAGCGGCACCGTTTGGAGCTGGGGCCAGGGACACTTGGGCGCGCTGGGCCACGGCGACCTGCAGGACCAGTGGCAGCCGAAGGAGGTCGAGGCCCTCGCTGAGCAGCGCGTCGTCGCTGTCTCGGCGGGAAAGATGCACAGCCTCGCCCTTACCGCCGACGGAGAGGTCTGGAGCTGGGGCTGTGGAGTCTTTGGCCGGTTGGGCCACGGCGACACGCAGTACCAGCTGCTGCCCAAGAAGGTCGAGGCATTGACTGGGCGGCGCGTCGTCGCTGTGTCCGCAGGGCAGTACTACAACATGGCAATCACCGCCGACGGCGGCGTCTGGAGCTGGGGCGGTGGAGGCTGGGGCCGGCTGGGCCACGGCGACGAGCAGCACCAATGGCAGCCAAAGAAGATCGAGGCCTTCACTGGGCAGCGCGTTGTCGCTGTGTCGGCTGGAGAGGACCACAGCCTCGCCCTCACCGCCGACGGCGCTGCTTGGAGCTGGGGCCGGGGAGACGGGGGCCGGTTGGGCCACGGCGACGAGCAGCGCCAGCTGCTGCCCAAGAAGGTCGAGGCCTTAGCTGGCCAGCGCGTCGTCGCCGTGTCGGCGGGAAATGAACACAGCCTCGCCCTCACCGCCGACGGCGCCGTCTGGAGCTGGGGTTGGGGACTCTTTGGCAAGTTGGGCCACGGCGACCTGCAGCGCCAGCTGCTGCCCAAGAAGGTCGAGGCCTTTGCTGGCCAGCGCGTCGTCGCCGTGTCGGCGGGAAATGAACACAGCATCGCCCTCACCGCTGACAGTGCCGTCTTCACGTGGGGCGAGGGCCGCCACGGCTGCCTAGGCCACGGCCAGGACATGTCGGACCAGCTCCTGCCCAAGAAGATCGAGGCGGTGGGGAAGCGATGAGAAGGGCGGTGGGGTGCAAGGCTCTGTGTCACGTCCTCTTCGCCTGCACTTGCAGCATTTGGAGTGCGGTCGCCACTTGCGAACGTATCCGAGAGTTGAGAGGCGAATCCGGGACGGAAGATGAGATTTATCGCCCACCTCCCTCCGACTTCAGAGGAGTCAGGGGTGCCATCGTCCTCTTGTTGAGCCGGTGCGTTCTAAAATTCTTAGCCCCCCGCTACCCGGTTGCACTCGTGCGACGTAGCGGGGGGCCACAACTACGTTTACGAAAACATAAGTAGTCCCGCGAGGTGTGAATTGGCCGCCCCAGTAGCCCCCATTTCCACTGGGGACGCTTTTCGTGGCAAACCCAAAGTTGCGCTGCGCGCGAAGCCGCTTTTGAAAGCGCGAAACGAATCTCGTCCTACCTCCCACCGGCCCCACCGGCTTTTCGTCGCCCATGCTCGGTCTCGACTTGAGTGCCGCTCGACTGGCCGATGAAGAGCGACCCGTACGACGCGCACTTGTCGTCCTCCCTCCTCGCCACATGACGGCCGCCCCCCGACACCAACAGTCGCGCTCCGCACGCCTTCGAGGTCAGCTGCGGCCGAGCGACGATCGGCTCGTCTCCGATCGCTGGGCGCGTTTACTCTCCGCCGTCACCCGCCTGCCGATCTCCTGTCCGCCTCGCCGCGCGCGGGCCGCTCGCCTGCTCGCCACCGCCGCCGCGCGTCCCCGCGCCGCCACGCTTCCCTGCACCTGACGGCGCTCGAGCTGCGCAGACGGCGCGCTCTGGCAGAGCAGCGGCCGCCCAGGCGGTCGCTGCTCCGCCCCGTCCGAATCCGTCAGCCCGCGCGTGCTGCTGCCGCCGCCGCCGCCGCTCCACCCGGTGCCCGTCGTGTGTGTGTCGTGAGAGTTGCTTTGTGTATGTGTATTACATCGTATGTGTGTGGACTTTTATGTATGTAAAAGAGGGATCGGCTCGATTGGACGGAGGGTGGACGCGTCCAGGGGGGGTCAGGGGGGGGGTCAGGGGGGGGACGGCTCGTATTGGTCATAAAAAACGGGGGTTCTGGATTTTGCATCTCGGCTGCATCCAATGGCGTCTGCGGTCTGGAGGCCTCGGATCACGGTCACGTCGGCGAGGACAGCGACGGCGTCGTTGGTGGAGCGCAGGGGCGAGGGCGTCGACCGACGGGCGGCGCACCAGGAGCCCTCGCTGGCGCGGAAGGTCACGGAACGACGGGTCGAGCCCCTCCGCCAAATCGAGGCGGCGGTCGAGACGGTGAGCGGCTGACGTCCTCGCGGGCGTGGCGGAGTACGGCCGACACTATGTGCTGCGGCAGCCCGCGGAGACGCAGGAGGCGCGGCGGAGCGGCTGCGCTTGGACGCGACGGCGAGGCTGGCCGGGCACGCTGTCGTCGAGACAGGCACACGTCGAGATCCTACGCGAGCAGGGTGGTGGTCGGCCACCATCACGTGGCGGGAGGAGGGTTCGGGCGGCCGGCTCGTGTGGATGCGGTCGAGTACGACGGCTACCCGGACGCCGAGCCTCTCCTCTCCTTAGAGGAAGAGACGTGGAGGCAGGTGACGCTCGGTGCCGGCAGCGCGGCCCCTAATACCAGCGGTGAGGCGAGCGACGGCGAGAAGAGCGACGGCGAGGCTGGGGACGCGCTGCCGTCCAGCGCGACCGACGTCGGCGGCGCGGTTAAGAATTTAGTGGGTTGGCGAGAAGGGGGGGAGAGCCCAATGTGGAGAGTGTTCATACCCGTATAGGATGCAAGTCCGCGCACAAAATGATTTTCGACCGACCGCAGCGAAACGCAGGGCCGACTGCACGCTAAAGGCTACACGCTCGCACACCACTTGCAGAGTGGCTCTCCCGGGCGCTCAGCCCACGGCGGAGGCACGCCAGGCCCCGGGCAGCCGGCCGTCACTCGCCTAAGCGCCTAAGCGGCCTAAGCGGGGGGGTGCTTAGGGTGCTTAGGCGCTTAGGCGGCCCTTGCGAGCGTGGCGGCGTGGTGGTATCGTAATACAAGTGACTCCGATGACACACATGATGCTCTTGTACCGGTAGGAAGGCGTGTGGCGAATACAATGTGGATCCTCCCGCCCCGCCCCGCCCGCTAGAGCTGTTTAACATTAACTTTGGGCCTAACAGTTGCGCTAGTGTTGGCTGAAATCCTTAACGTTGTTCAAGTGTTCACCCCAGCCCATGCTGTTACTGTTTGTTACTGTTGAGGTGTTGTTACTGTTGTTAATAATAATTAGAGCAGGCATCTCCAGGAGAGATGGGCGACGCACGAACACAGAGAGAGGCACAGCGCGCACCCCGCCCCGCTCGCAGGGCGTGCGTGCATCACACAGGGACTGTGTGAGTCCTCGGGTTCTTGGGAATCTTGAGGTGTGCTAGTCGCTATAGTCGGACGGTCTTTTGTGCGAGGGAGTAAGAAAGAAAGAAGAAAGAAAGAAAGAAAGATACAGAGCCTTAGGTCACGGGAGAGCATCCATGCGGAGGGGGCGGTCAACCGGGTTGCGTGTCGCAAACCACGTGTACCGAAACACCCTGTCGTCCGTCTCGAGCGCCAGCAGCGTTCTGGACATCCATTCGTCCTGGACCTGCCGGCCTTGTTTGCCAAAACCGACTGCCATCTCGGTGATCCACAGCTTCTTGCCAAATGATTCGTAGAAATGTCCGATTCGATCGGCCAGTTCCGTGAACACTTCCTCCTTAGAGTTTGAGTAGTAGTGGTAGCCGATGTAGTTAATTTTGTCCGGGTCGCAGCCCTCGATGACGCTGCAGGTTCCCAGGAAATGTGTTAACCAGGGTGATGGATTGCCATCGAAGTAGCGAACACACAGCTGCGGCGAAAAGAGCACCTAGGAGGGAGTCGCGCGGCGATGAAGAGGTGTACTATCACATGTGTGGTGGCGTGTTACAGATTCGGCTGCCCAGTCAGATTTCTTTTGCGAGTCAGAATAGGGTAAATACGGGGTACGTACTTTTAGCTTACTGGGAGAAAAGGGAGAGAGAGGGGTGTTCTCTCGGCCCCTAAGGGCCCTACGCGCGGCGTGAGAGCTCGGTCGGAAGGGAGCTTCGCATCTACTCGAGTACTTTACTGGGTGGGAGAAAAGGGACGTACTTTTATGTCACACTTGAGCCTCTATCTATGATTAGTAGACCGGTGCTCGGGTTTGGATGGTAGCGGGGGGCCCCGCCGGAGGCTGGTTACTGATTTCCTCGAGTCGCTTAGGCCGGTGTGATTCGAAGAAGCGCAGGCGAGACACACACCACACAGGCGCAGGGCACGCGGGCACCGGCACGGAGGAGAGAACGTAATTTACTATTTAGTTCGTAACTAATAAAGAGAAGACGAGCGCGTGGTTCTCGATAATTCTCGATAACGACGCGAAAAGAGTCGTGTAGCTAATCGTCAACGAGCCAGCCTGCCAGTTCATGGGCCGCTTGCGGTGGGCCGGTGGCAAACGAGAACGAACGTTCGCCGCGCCGCCGGGCGGGGCCGGGGGCCGCGAATCAAGTTGGTGCCGGGGGGCTTTGGTTCCGTTTCGTTGAATTCGTCGGGGTACCCCGCGGTTCGCGCTGGGGCTGACTATCGTGATCCGGCCGTACCCAATCGCGCGAATCACACACGCACCATCCACTCATAATGAGTTCACCAGGGCGACCATCGACGCCGCCGCGCGCTTCTTCGCGAGCGCCTTGCGCTTTGCGGCGCCGCTGGGCTGCTTTCGCTTCGGAGGTGGCTCACCTGCCCCATCACCCTCTTCGCCCGCGCCCGCACTAACCGACTCGCGACTCGCTGTCTTCCGCCTTCTTTTGGCAGACCCGCTGCTGGCGCCGGCCGGGGTGCCGGCGGGGCCAACGCCAAGGAGGCCCTCGAGAAAGTCCGAAGGAGGAGCGGTGGGCGCGGCTGGCAAGGACGGCGCGGCGGCCGTCGAGAGCGGTCTCGAGCCGCCAGCGCTGCACGGCGAGGACGACGCGGCAGCTGGTTTGCCCTGCATCGCCGCCTCGGACACGCCCAGCGCACGCAGCTTGAGCTGAATGCGGTCCGCCTCGGCAAAGTCGCGCTGCTCGCGCGCCGCCTGCCGGTCGCGGATGAGCTGCTCGACTTTAGTCCCGGCGTGTGGAGCCTCCGGTGGCGTTGGAGGCGGCGGGGCAGCAGCAGGAGAAGCATCAGCAGGAGGAGGAGGAGGCGGAGGAGGAGGCGGAGGGGGAGGATCGCTGCGGGGCTCGCAGGCGCACGCCTCTGGCCCAAGGCGCCGCGCAAACGCCAGTGCTGCCTCATGAGCGCTAGTGAAGCGCCCAATGTGCTCCACATAGCCGCCGCGGTCGGCGTGCACGAGCCGCGCCTTGAAGGGCTTCGCCAACAGACTATTCTTTTCCGGCCGGTACGATATGCCGCGATAGCCGGTCTGGCCATCGCCAGGCACGAGGTGCAGGCCCTCCCGCAACGCCGCGGCCGCAGCCTCTGCTCGCGTCATCGGGCGAGGGTGGCCAAAGAGGAGTGGAGCCTCGAGCGGCACCGCCCGGGTGGCCGTGAGCGTCTGCGGTGCACATTCCATGGCTTCTCGAGCAGGGTTCGGACTTTTTGGTATGGTAGGACACCCTGGCGTCCACCCATACCGCGTTGGTGTCCAGTCCGAGCCTGGCTGTTCTTCACCTTTCTACCTACCTACCTACAGCCTGCTGACAGACCCAGCCTCCCGGAGACCGGGGATGGCATGCCGCGCTGGTGTCCAGTCCGGGTGCAACTCGAGAAGTCGAGATCCTCCCTCGACCCTGAGAGTTCACGGAGTCATATAAACTCACAACTACTGCGCGCCGGTGTGTCCAATCTGAGCCTGGGCCCTGGCTGTTCTCTGGTAGCTGGTAGGACGGGAACGAGATGATAGTAGGGAGTAGAGAAGATAGAAAGCAAAGAGGAGCGGCGCAGCGGCCCTGCCGGCACGCACGATCGACTGACGACTCCGCAGGAGAAGCCCCTCCCCCAGACAAAACACAAGGGAGAGGTGGGTGGGTCACAGAAAACTGCGGCCGCCAACGACTGAGATCTGAGTCAGTCTCGCTGGCGGACGGCGGGGAGAACACTCTAACGAAGCTAGGGCCGTCCGAAACACACCAAGATGTGAAGATTGAGCACTTGAGCACTGGATAGGGTCGATTCCGCATGGTACGGGACCCCTCGATCGTCTCGCCCTCCCTCACTGGTCACTAGTAGTGCGTGACACTAGGGGGGAAGGGAGGGGACGTGTATACTAGCAACTAGGGGACGTCGCCCATCACTCGGGGATGAGATGTGATCGGGAGATACGTCAGATCTGCCGAATATCGCCCGAATATCTACAGCGGCCCACAGGAGCGCCGCCTCAACGCGGGGTCTCGGCTCTGTCGAGCGACGAGCCATGCTCTAGCTCCATAGCGGCGCAGGGCGCAGCCCCACCCAGGCCGGCGGCACCCGAGGGTGTGTTCCCGCAGCGCGCAGCGTAGGGTTGTCAAACGTTAAGAGCTGAACAGTGTTGCTACTGTGTTTACAGTAACAACAGAACAACGCAGTGGGGCTCCCCAACAACAGTAGCTAACGTTAGGCCGACTGAACAACAGTAAGGAAGGCCTGGCAGTGAGACCCACGATGATCTCTCGTGTCCAGTGCGGGTAATACCCAAAAATACCCGGAAAATCCCAGGTATTTTCGGGGTTTACCCGGGTTTTTTGGCATTTTCTGCTTGCTGGCCGCTGAACAACAGTAGGCTAGTGCCATTTCACTCTGACACGCTAATCTTGAAAACGTCTCCAACGGAGCTCCGTGTTGCTTCCAGCGCCCTCCCCCGCGCTCCCTGCGGCCATGGCCGATGCTCCTAGTATGAGAGGTCATCTGGCTACCGCGAGAGCGACCCAACTCGTCGACATCGTCCGATGATTGTGCCTCAAAGTCAGCCTCCGGAGGCTATCGTGGGGTCGAGCCGGCAGTAGCCGTGACATGTGGTTCCAACACCCCTCGTAGGCTTTGCCTCTGATCGCCACCGTTCCCAGGCTGCCTAATGGGATGGAAAGGAAGGCTCGGCGAGCGTATAGAAGCGTTCTCGACCTCGTCGTGGCAACCTGCACGGCAGCGCTGGCAGGCGATATGAGCGTCGTGCCACCTGACCCGAGACGGGTCGCAGGCGTCGTACCGAGCGCGTCGAGACCGTGTCCTGATGTGATCTGCACGGGTGAGTCACGTCGGCGTCAAAGGAGCGACGTGCGACCTGTCAGAGCTTGATCTCCGATCTCAGCGGCGTCGAGTCATCTCCGGCGCGCGACAAAGGTACATCCCCAGGACGCGCAGAGGCAGCTGCGACCCCGCCGAGTGG